GGCGGCGGAACTTTTTGCAGATTTGAATGTTGACAGCGAAAAGAACTAAAATGCTCCTTCATACTTGATCATACATATAAGAGTAATACAGCATTTAAATCTGTAAAGGGTCTACTTTTATTTGTGTACACTCACAATATCAACAAAAGATTGTGCTTTTGTAAAATAAAGAAAATATACAGGGTGCGCTTTCAGCTGTCTCAGTCTCTGCGAACTTCTTTCTGAAACACATCACTAAAATGAACCAAAACTCAGAGAATACTTCACACACAGACATGAGAAACGTATCTATGGAAAGCTTGAAGTGTCTGCTTTTAAAGGAGTCATATGATGCGATTTAAATTTTTCCTTTCTCTTTGGAGTGTTACAAGCTCTTGGTGCATAAAGAAGATCTGTAAAGTTGCAAAGACTAAAGTCTCAAATCCAAAGAGATATTCTTTATAAAAGTTAAGAGTTAACCACGCCTACCTAAAACGGCTCGTTCTAACATGCCCCCACATATCTACCTCACTATGTGGGAAGATTTGCATAACGCTGCCCAAATGTTCACGCAAAGAAAGAAGGCATAACTTTTATTCTCACTGTATCACTGTGTCGTGAAGACGCTGTGTGCTTCGTTGTGAAAGCGAAACTACTTTGTTTGGTCTTCCAAAAGAGGACGATATCAACAAATGTTCTCTGATGAAGTAATCCGTATGAAACCAACGCGAGGTCCAGTCTTTCCCGTCTGAGCTCATTATCTGTAATGTCACCATGCCCACACGCAGCGCGCGCTATTCATACGGTAATCATCCACGTGAGACGCGCGAACCTGTAAACGGCCACATAACTTCCATAAACAAAGAAGCAAGATTAATTTTTACATTTACATTTAGTCATTTAGCAGACGCTTTTATCCAAAGTGACTTACAAATGAGGACAATAAAAGCAACGCAGTACACGTAGCAAGGTGTATATATATATATATTATACACACACACACATATACACACACACAAAGAAAAACAAGTAGATAGAATAGAAAAAATAGAAAGCTACTGTTTGTTTGTTTTTTGTTGTTTAAAAATTTTAGCATTCAAATATGCACTGTATGTTCATCAATACTGTTTTCAAATGTTATCAGAACCGTTTTCAATTTATTATGTTTTTTTTCTGTCTTTAATGCTCACACAGTTAAACACAGTTAAGCCAGCATACACATACCCTACACTCAGCAAGCAATTTTGTATATAAAACACTGTGTAGGCACATCTAAAGGAAAATTTTTCATTGTTAGGCTTTAGAAATGGATTAAATCTTTAAGTCAAGTTGCTGTTTTCATATCTTTGTAATATTTTTCAGTCAATATTAAACTACTGAAAGAACTACAATTTTCACTTTGTAGTGTATTTCTTTTTAGGTTTGATATGTTTTCATAGTAAAGTAATTAGTAATCTGATTAATTTTACATGCAGTAATCAGTAATGTAATCAAATTACAATTTTCAAGTAGTAATCAGTAATTTGTAATCCATTGCTTTTTTTAAAACGTACCCAACACTGTTGCTGGGTAAATGAGTTAGGGGCAGGATCTGCTCTGCTTGGCAAAAGAATGAAAACATGGAGAGGATATTTCAGAAACCTACTTGGAAACAATCATTATTTCTGCAATGCATTCATGCACACTGCAGCTTTAAGCCTCAAAAGCAACACAAATGAGATGTTCCTACTGAAACAAAAGAAAACATTAAAAATGCAGAATCACATAATCCAGAACTCATGCAGCCTTTGCACTTGTCAAGATTAATTAATGAATCATTTTAACAAATTGTGGAAATGCTGATGGCACAGCACGGTTCATACCCACTCAAAAGGGGGAAAATACCCAGAATATATTAACTTTTTTAAAGTAGCAGAGCAATGGTAACACTTTATAATAACATTCAGTTGTAAGTCATTTATAATTGATTAGTTAATGATGAACTAATCATTTACAAAACATTCATAAGCAATTAATAAGTGATATGCTAACAATTTGTGTATGTTTTGTTAATTCATTTACAAGTCATTTACAAGTGATTAGTTAATGATGAACTAATCATTTACAAAACATTCATAAGCAATTAATAAGTGATATGCTAACAATTTGTGTATGTTTTGTTAATTCATTTACAAGTCATTTACAAGTGATTAGTTAATGATGAACTAATCATTTACAAAACATTCATAAGCAATTAATAAGTGATATGCTAACAATTTGTGTATGTTTTGTTAATTCATTTACAAGTCATTTACAAGTGATTAGTTAATGATGAACTAATCATTTACAAAACATGACTGCGTTCATAAATGATTAATAAGTGATATGTTAATATTTTTATCTATGTTTTGTAGATTAAGTTATAAATAATTTACAAGTGATTAGATGATGATTAACTAATCATTTACAAAACATGACTATGCATTCACAAATGATTATTAAGTAATATGCTAACAATTTACAAATCTCGTAAGTTATCTTAAAAAATAGCATCATGAAATAATCAAACAGATGTTTTTTAGTAAATTCAATTAATCATTGTTTTTAGTATAGTTACTAGTTAAGTTACTAGTTAATATATTATTATTCACTTATAAATCATTGAAATGTCAACATTGTACTATTATCGCACAGCGTTATAGATACTCCATGTGTGTCAGAGAAGACATCTGTCTACACCCTCACTAGTCAGCCCTTACATTGCAGTACACACTACAAAGTACAATGATTTATAAGTGAATAATAATATATTAACTAGTAACTTATTAACCATTTACTAAGGATCTGTTTGATTATTTCATGATATGCTATTTTTTAAGATAACTTGTGACAGATTGGTAAATTGTTAGCATATTACTTAATCATTTGTGAACGTATAGTCATGTTTTGTAAATGATTAGTTAATCATCATCTAATCACTTGTAAATGATTTATAGCTCAATCTACAAAACATAGATAAAAATATTAACAAATTACTTAATCATTTATGAACACATAGTTATGTTTTGTAAACGATTAGTTCATCATTAACTAATCACTTATAAATGCCTTACAACTGAACGTTATTATAAAGTGTTACCTACTCAGGTTGGGTATTTAGGGATGTGCTGTTTTAATGAAATCCATTTGTGCAAGACCAGTTAGTTTGTAGCTGATATTCATGCACACTACCCAGGGAAATCTGGTGGTCACTGCTTTAGTACTTGGCTTCTGTAACGTGGGAGGCGAGACAACGGAGTTGAGGATCCAAGTGCAGGCTTTATTTACAAGAGTTGTCAAAACAAGCAGGGTCAATCAACAGCAAACAGGTATAACCCAGGATCAGACAAAAGCAGAAAACAGGCGATGGTCAGGGCAGGCAGCAAACAATCAGAGAAAACCAGAGAAACAGTCCAAGGCAAAAACAAGGCAAGGCAACAAGGAACTAGGAAAACCAAGAAACACGGGAACGCTACAGACAAACCAACAATCAAACAATACTGAGCAATGTGAGTGTGTTGAACCAGGCTTTAAATAGGGTTAGACTGATGACTAGACCGTCACTTCCTGTTTGTTGCTGCCGTGTGTTTTGAGTTTGAGCTCCGTCAAGTTAATTCTTTGTAGTCTAATTTTTTATCTTAAAATCAATTTTATACACCATCATGAGGTAATGAGATACAGGTGAAGGCAATCAATGATGATGAGTCCGGCAAAGGATTATGGGAAATGTAGTCTGGGGTAGAACACATAGTCCATCCTTGTCAGACATGCCATGTAAGAAAAGCTTTTTAGCCTCATTGAATTGTGTTTTCAAGGAAGCCTCTTACATGTTTGGCATTTTCATAAATCTATGCATTTATTCAAAGTGACTTCAAGTGTAATCACTGTTCAAAAGTTTGAGGTCAGTAAGATTTTTCTTTGAAAGAAATAAATACTATTCAGCAAGGATGCATTAAAGGATGCATCCAATTCATCAAATGTGACAGTGAAGACTTTTACATTGAAACAAAATATTTATATTTCAAATAAATGCTGTTCTTTTGAACTTTCTATTTGTCAATGTATCCTGAAATAAATGCATCAGTTTTCACAAATACATTTAGCACCATAACTGTTTATATATATAAATTAGAGATGCACCGATTGCAATTTTCTTGGCCGATTCCGATTTCCGATTTTTTTGTTAGTGTGATCTGCCGAT